TTCCGGTCCCGTTCCACCTCCCTCCCCTCCCCCACACAACCGTCCACGGCGTCCCGTCGCGCCCCATCCTCCGGCGCCTCAGTCCCGGCCCCCGCGACTCCGCCGGACCGCGGAGCTGGCCGACCCTCACCTGCCATGTCCCGAACCCGGCCGCAGAGGGAGGTGCATCAGGGCCGCGAGAAGGCCGGCGACAGCACTTCAGAGCAGACAAAGGGCGCCGCCATGTTAGAGTCGGGCGGAACCGACCTCGCCGGCTTCCCAGCTGCGACTTCCGGCGCATGCGCAGAGCTCGCGCCCGGCGTGCCACAGCAGATTGGCGCATGCGCTTGGCTATCCAAAAGTTCAACCTTCTAGGCTGGGGGCGTGGCCCAAGTGGTGGAGCGCCTACCTAGGGAGAGCGTGGTCCTGAGTTCAAACCGCAGAACCGCCAAAGAGGGGGGAAAGTTCTGCTTACAGTATTTCTATTCTTAGAATTGTCCCCGTTATAATCCTGCCTTGGTTTCCTGTCCCAACTAGAACAGTAACAGCTTCCACGTGTTTGTTCAATGCTTACCATGGCCTGGCCCAGCCCGAAGTTCATTGCATACTTGGTCATATTTACACCAATCGTTAAATAATCTTTACCCTAAAGTGTGTGTGTGTGTGTGTTGGTCCTGGGGCTTGAACTCAGGGCCTGGGCACTCTTCTATAGCTTTATTCCACTCAAGGCTGGTGCTTTACCCCCTGAGCCAAACTCCACTACTGGATTTTTGGTGGTTCTGGAGATAGAGTCTCTTGGGTTTGTCCACCTGAGCTAGCTTGGAACCAAGATCCTCAGGTCCTCAGTAGCTAAAATTCCAGGTGGGAGCACCACACCTGGCTTTGAAGATCTTCTTTGGAGTCAACGATTTTACTGCATTTCTGATTCTATCATTCTTTCCCCATTCTTGGAATTCTTCTAGAAACAAGAATTTGCCTCATCAGCTAGGCTTATATGCTTATCTAGAAATTCAGTTCATTGAGGGAAAACAAGGCAAAGTTGTTTTTTTTTAAATAACTTTCTCAGTCTTCACCATGAAAGAATGAGTTTGTTGGGATAAAGTTCCCATATCAAACCACTCTTTTTTTTTTTCCAGTGCCAGTCCTGGACCTTGAACTCAGGACCCTGGGTACTGTCCTTTAGCTTTTTTGCTCAAGGTGCTCTACCACTTGGGCTATGGGCTCCACTTCCAGCTTTTTGGTCTTTAATTGGAGATAAGAATCTCAGACTTTCCTGCCTGGGCTGGAAACCTTACTTGGAACCGAGGTCCTCTATCCTCATATCTCAGCCTCCTGAGTACCTAGGATTATAGATAGGAGCTACTGGGGTCCCAGAATCCTTTCTGGCAGTTTTAAGGACATCTATTGTCTCCCTTTTCCAGCTTCTAGCAGCATTTGCTTTGTCTTGCCTCTCTGTAATAGTTTGATGTTTGGGTTTTGGTCATGATACCCTAAGGTTAAAGCTCTTAACCTTTCGGCTTTGATTCTGAGCACAGGTTAGGAATCAGTTCAGAGCAGTCTTTTGCTATAATATTAAGAACAAGTTAGGCCTCAGAAATAAAGAATCTCTCTCCCTCTCTGACCCTCCTTTTTCCTGCCCTTTTTTTTCTCTCTAAGGCAGGCTGTAGACGCTACAATTCTTCTCCTCTAAAGTGAGCCATACAAATTAAGAGCATATCTTAGACTTTCCCCCTATTTTTCTGCCTTAGACATGACCATAATTTTCTTCTTTTCCTTTTGTGTGCTGGGGATGGACCCCAGGGCCCTGTGAGGTTTAGGCCAGCTGTCCATATGGAGCTGCACCCCAGCTCTGACAGCAGATCAAAGACTGCCCCAGGTGAGGCCCTTCCCTGAACTTGTTACTGGTATCCAGTAGGAAGGAATGCTGTCTAGACAGGCCTTGCTGGATTGTTCTGCTGACCCAGATCACACTCATATTGTACAGTCACATTTTCCCCTGGCTATCGATGCTATGTGTGGAGACTCCATAAAACCCCAAAAGGATGGCCCAGAAAGCTATGGAAAGCACATGGCACTGGCACTGGAGCTCCTCAACTCCCCGTGGGCCTCCCTGTTCCTCTCTTTACCTGTATCCATGTAACATCCTTTATACTAAACCAGAAAACTTGTCTTTCCCTGAGTATATTAGTTGAACCCAAGGAGAGGTATGGGAGCCCTAATTTATTCTGGTTGTTCAGAACTGCAGATAAAACCAATGAGCACTTTCCACTGGCATCTGGGAGTGGGGGTGGGGAGGGGCGTGCTGGGGACTGAGCCTTTTACCCATGGGTCTACAGCAACCCACAGGGAAGAATTGGAACTGAACCCAATGCAGGGACAGGCACCTGGCTGAATTTATATTGTTTCTTGGTGGGTGGGGTTTGTCCAAAGTGCCACAGTGACCTGTTTTGTTGTCACAGCAATGCAGACCAGCACAGATCAAGACCACTTTTCAGAGAGGATAAAGTTTATTGCTAGCGACCCAACCAGGATAGTGCCAGAAAGAAGTTCAGATACCGAGGAAGGGGAAAACTTGGTTATAACCCTGGGTTATACACAAAATAGGCATTAATCAGATATACAAAAGGTCAGGCAGAAGACATCAACTTGTGAAAGGTAGGCAATCCCTTCCTAATTGTGCAGAAATTATGCCATCCTGTCACTGTCCCTTCTGAATTGTTATTTAGAATGATACCTTGTGGAGTTCCTACTATCCATTCAGATAGCCCCGCCTAGGCCACCCAACTCACATTCCACATTCCCACCTGGCCACTTTTTGGCAACTGATGGGGGGTGGGGGGTGGGGGCCCAGGACGCTACCTTCCAGCAACTGGGTGCGGTAATGTGCCTTTGCCTAGAGAGGTCACTGTCTACTTCATTGTGACAACAGAGATGGAGAAATGGAGTTTGAGTTTGGCTTTTGCCTCTGTGACAGAATCTCCAAAGCTAACTAACAATGGCAGGCTGAATCCTCACTTCTGGTCTTTCTGGCTCCCCCACCCCAGCCCCATGCCCCCATACTTGGCCTTGTCTTTTATGTTCACTACAGATACACAGCCCCTAGACATTGTTGAGATGAGGACAGTAAGTTGTAAGCAGAAAGCCCGATGGCCAGAATTATCTTTGAAATAGTCCATCTGAGCTGAGCATGGTGATGCACCCTGTTATCACAGTTACTCAGAAAACTGAGGCAGGAGCATTCAAGGCCAGCGTGGACTATTGTAGCAAGATCCTCTGGCTACAGAATAGGAGGCAGGGGAGGAAGACTAGGAATCTGAGCCTTTTCACAGGCAAAAAGGAGAAATGGTTTGGATTTGGCAAGGGGGAAAGTGTAGTATGGAGGCCCATCAGGAATAGAGCTCCCTGACCTCTTCCCCACTGCCTGAGGGCCCAGGACCGGAATCACCCAACACTACCAGGGCAGATCTGGCTGCACACCTAGCTTCCCACCAGCAGGTGGTGTCATCTCATCAGCCGGGAGGGCTCCAGGGCCAGGTATAGCCGGGGAAGAGATGCTGGCGTGGGCCAGAACCGTGTGGCCCACCCCAGTGGGTGGCCTGTGTTCTCAGAAGCCATGTTTCATTCTAACCCACACCCCTTTCATGTGGAATGGTGGATATTTATGCCAGGTGTAGCAACACTTATTCACCACTAAGTGAAGCTTCATAGATACTTATTTCAGTAAAGGGAACTGTCACCCTGACACCTTTTTATGTGTGTCAGTCCTGGGGCTTGAACTGTGGGCCTGGGCGCTGTCCCTCAGCTCTTCAGCTCAAGGCTAGCGCTCTACCACTTGATCCACAGCGCCACTTCCGGCTTTTTCTGCTTATGTGATGCTGAGGAATCAAACCCAGGGCCTCATGCATGCAAGGCAAGCACTCTACCACTGAGCTACCTTCGCAGCCCTCTCTAATCTTGTTTTAATGCTCAAAGCTAGTGATATGCCACTTGAACCACACCTCCACTTCCAGTTTTTTGGTAGTTTATTGGAAATAAAAGCCTCACAGGCTTTCCTACCCAGACTGGCTTTGAACCACCATTCTCAGATCTCAGCCTCCCAAGTAGCTAGGATTACAGGCATGAGCCACCAGCACCCAGCTTTGTCTAGACACCTATATGGGCCACACACATATGGATATGATTTTAGTTACCGTTCTAAAGTTGAGAAACTGGCGCACAGAGAGGCTAAACACTTTGCCCATGAACAAAGAGGCAGAGCCCAAGACAGACTTGGTGGTGCTATAATCTCAGTGCTAGGGAGACCGAGGTAGGAAGATTACAGTTCAAGGCCAAGCTGAGCTGTATTACTCCAGCACAGATGAATGTATTAAGAAGATGGACTAGCCCAGTGACAGTGGCCCACACCTGTAATCCTAGCTACTCAGGAGGCTGAGATCTGAGGATTATGGTTTAAAGCCACCTGGGGCAGGAAAGTCTGTGATTCTTTTTTTTTTTTTTTTGGTCGGTCATGGAGCTACAGCACCACTTCCAGTTTTCTGGTGGTTTATTGGAGATAAGAGTCTCACGGTCTCTCCTGCCTGGGCTGGCTTTGAACTGCGATCCTCAGATCTCAGCCTCCTGAGCAGCTAGGATTACAGGCGTGAGCCACCAGTGCCTGGCTTCTGTGAGATTCTTATCTCCAATTAACTACCAGAAAACTGGAAGTGGTGCTGTGGCTCAAGTGGTAGAGCACTAGCCTTGAGCTGAAGAGCTGAGGAACAGCGCCCAGCCCAGAGTTCAAGCTACATGACTGACAAAAAAAAAAAGATGGACTATATTGGAATATTACACAGCCAGGAAGAAAAACAAAATCATGTCATCCGGAAAATAAGCACAATTTAGAGGACATCCTGAGCAAGACTAAGGAAGACCAAGCTGAGCTCATAAATAAAACATGTATGTTTTCACTCATGTGTAGAAGCTGGGCCAATAAAAGATACATATTCATGGACATAGACATGAATATAATTATCCATAGACACAATTACTTATATGATGAAACAGAACATGAATCAAGCTAGGAGACTACTCAGGAGAAGGAGAGAGGAGAGTGGAAAAACAAGAGAGTGAATAATGGAACACATTGCAGATGTTTATGAGAACAGCACAGAGAAACTCAGCAAAAGATGATGCTCAGTAAAGGATGAGAAGAAAAGAAACAGACTCTGTGAGTAGATGGGGAAAAGAGGTATACTCTCGAAAGGATAAAGAAGATTGCTGAC